ATCTTTCGAAAGTCTCTCAAAAATGATAGCACAACCAAAAGGCTCAAGTCATTCTTAGCTGCGTTCACAGCACATTAAATCTGGACGTAAGACTGGCGAGGTCTATTATTTCATTAAGCCCGTCAAAAGCCCTTGTCGAAAACTCGAGAACTTTCAGCTTACGATGAAAAACCGCCCAAATGTTTGAAGCTTTTTGCTTTTTTAATTTATGTCTAGTATAATTTAGATCGCACTAAGCGAATATAATGAAAGCCGAAGTAATTGTTTATACAGTATCATAATAAACGTAACCCATTAATTATAGTCATAATAAAATATATTTGGGCTGAAATGCGTACCTCGTACGTTTTTAATAGGTTAAAATTACAGTTAAGTACTATTTATTAATAGGATTACAAAATATTTTTTTTTCTAGCAAAAAAAATTACATTATTAAAATTGAAATAACCTCTAAACTGCATAGAACAGGCCACCCCTTTCTTTCGTGGGTATCGTAAGAAGCAACTAAGGAAACTTAAGGGTCGAGGGATGGGCAGTAGGGTCTCTTTTAAAACATGTCCAAGGTCTAACTGCTGTTCCTGGGGGATGTGCTAATATACCGGCGCATCCCCCGAGTGGTAGAGTGAGCACGCCATCCACCCAATCTTGAGAGAGAAGACCTGCTCTTACCATCAAGGGGTGAGTCACTGCCGTCGGTGATGTGGTGAGTGCGAAAGCGAACCCATGTCTCCGACATATGGCACCTCGAGGGTATATCGTCTGGTTTTTGGTGGGTACACCCCCACCTTACGGGGAGGATTCCCACAGTACCCATTCACCTCCCACAAGGTGTATGGGTCTCCATAAAGAATTTTCCAGACATTAAAAAATAAATAAATAAATAAATAAAATAAAAAAAAAAGTTCTAACTGCTGTCACCAACCCGTCTGCCGAGCGTGTCAACTACTGGCAAAACCCCCTAAAAAGGCCTATACTCAGCAGTGGATAATTAACAGCTGATATGGTATTATTACATTTAAACAAATTATATATGTATATGTAGGTACATACATTAAACTGAAAAACATTACTTTCTTTGGCAGCTGGATTTTAATCATATACACACAAAGACATATCACAATATGTATTAAATAAGTGCCTACCATTGCAGCAAGAATGAATCGAGTGAATGGCTGTCTGTAGTGAACGATAAAAATTCTGATAAAATACCGGTAGGTTATGACGCGAGAACGGCCTATTGTTAAGTAGTGATAACTGCTCGTTATATTAAATATTAACAGTTTTGTCGATGAATATAATAAATTTTCAGCTTTCAATACAATTTTAATTACATATTTAAATCAATAAAATAAGCTGTGTCATTAAGTAGCTACATATTGATATTAATATCAGTATTTATAATTTTGTTTAATTCCGCTAACATTAAAATCCTAAGACCACCAAATTGTGCAGAAATCCAAATAAACAATCAGCAAATGTTAGTGGTCTCGTGAAAATTAATGGTAGCGGAATTATACAAAATAATAATAATCAATTATCAAATTATTATTAAATAAATTTACCTACTTCCGCTATGGCTAGTATTCGCGAGACCGCCAACATGTCGTATAGAGATCTAAATACACAATCACTAAATGTTAGTGGTCTCTTGAAAATTAATAGTAGCGGAATTAAACAAAATAATGACAATCAAACAATAAAATATCAGTAAATAAATTGGCCTACTTCTACTATTGCTAATATTTGTGACACCGACAACATGTAATAACATAGTGGATAACTAAATACACCACAACCGAATCTTAGTGGAATTAAACAAAATAATAGTCAATTTGGCAAGTGACTATTATTTTGTTTAATTCCATCAGTATCAGTAAATATATATTGGAGGAAACAATAAAGAGTATCTATCTATCTATATTTACTCTCTTAGTAGAACTGCTTATTTGAGTGTTGTTATTATAATTCCGTTATAGTTAATATAATATTATTAAGGACTGACAACACCACTAAATATTCGTAGTCCCACGCATACTAATGACAGTAGAATTAAACAAGACAATATCAATCAAATAACCAATATCAGCAAGTAAATTTACCTACTCAATGATACTGGTGATTTTATTATCATTTTGTTTAATTACACTACAGTTATCATTCATTAAGTTACCGACATGTGGTTCAGAGGAATGGTATATAATAAAAAAATAAATAAACGGTAATATGGCCTTCCTTAAAATAACATCTAATTCAATATAATAAGTAGGCAATAATAAATAGGTTCGACCTTAGCCAGTAACGTTAATACAACAAGTATTTAAGGAACACAAACTGTATATGTGACAAAGATAATATTATAATAAGAAAAAACATACCTAGATATATTAACTGAAACACTTATATTTAATTTAAATAAAAGTTTAAAGTGCTCTCTTTTATGATAGAGTCAATTGCCAACTTGTACCTAGATAGTTTTTTAAATAGATACTTTTTATACCGTTCTACAACGACAATATAACAAAACAATAAAAAAATATGAATAAAACCGCCTTTTGTACTTTATAAATTTTATATATATATATATATATATATATATATATTATTTTATATTATAATTTTCGTGGTGCAATAATGAATTAATAAATAAGTTGCATAGGTTAGTACCTACCTACTGAAAGTACGTAGCTTGGTATTTTTATTTTTTATTAGAACAGGTGCTCATACGTGGATATCTACGTAGTAAGAAGGTATTATTATCTTTTTAAACAATTTATAGTAAATGTAAATAATAGACAATGCAATGCAACGCTATTGTTTTTATTATTTATAATTTTTTTTTTTAATTTAGTATTATAGAAACCTCAGGACAAACGTTATTAAATTATAAAACTAACTATACTTACAATTTAAAAAAGTACCTGCTAACAATAACAAAGAGAGATGTTAAGAATAATAGTCAGAATAACAAATTATTTCCCTGTATTTGGAATAACACCTAAGCCAGTTTTTTGTTATAAAAATTTTATACTACTCCCGCGTTGTAAACAGTTGAAAACACTTTTTATAACCTAAATCTATTCTCACCGGACTACTGGATCACGTTCTCAAAATATCACCACAAAACACTGAATTTCTACAACTAGAGAAAGAAAAAAAAACACAATAAAATATATTAATAGAATTTACAAAACTCACTTTGTTCAACACGTGTTTTCTTGACGCAAAACTGACAGCGTTCGGAGTCGACTATCCGAATACCAAACACAACCACCGCTAAATACTGAATACTCTTCTATTTACAAGAACGCGATTGAAGTGCTGCGCTAGAAGCCCTTTAATAGACGATGAAAAAATTACAAATAACCCCAATCTGAAACGTTCCTTCTCACTATATATTAGAGTTGATATTTGAAAAGCGTCAATCTCGACGTTAATAATCATGTCGTAGCCGATAATGTAATGTTGTTGCATTCTTTCAGTATGCACGTTACGTGCGGAATAAGGATGGAGAATAAGAGCGCGCATGTGCGTTTTCCCCCCTGAAATCCTCGAAAGAAGTTTGGTGGTACCATCATAGTGTTTTGTTATGAACGAGTCTGCCCTATGGAAATTGTAAATGGTGGTTTTTATGGACGGGTTTATAGCCGGTTTTACTTCATTATTCTGTTCAATATAGGCACTCTTAATTTGAATTTCAATATCATAAAAGATTAAAGTTTGGATAAAGCGCCCAACACACTTTATTTAGTAACAATTGCACTAAACTAATTTATTATTTACTAGAAAAGTAATTAATTACCTTATTCTTTTTTACGTACATAAAGACAGATTAATAAATTTGATAGAAACAGTAACATTAAAATGAGAAGGAATTACCTAAAATTTCTACTGCTGTATACCTTGGACTTTCTATCGTGAGAGGGAAAAGGGATTTTATTAACAGGCTTTAACAGCCCCATTGCTAGCAATATATCCTATCAGGATGACCTCTACGTGGTACTCCCTAAAAACCATCGATTCTAGTATAGACCGTGGTAGGTAAATTAAGCTTTAAGGAATTACTATTAAAGTTGATACTACAGTGATATTGTTGTTACTGCAACGAGTAGAAAGCATTAAATCTTTTTTAATGGGTGAAAATGAAGTGGTAACGTCGCCTGCGCTATCGGTATATATTGGCGAGGCACCAGTGAGAGATGATAGGTGAAAATGAAAACAGGTCAGTTAGCCCATCGTGAAGTATTCCACAAGAAGTACTCACGATGGTTTCTAGGGGGCTGCGTGAAGCTCGATCTGATAGGGTATATTGTTAGCAATTGGGGCAGTCAAACCCTATTAGTAACAATCTCTTTCCCCCTGATAGCGTTGGGTAGGTGAACATTTTATCAACTGTCAGATACAAGATATACCACGCACACTCAGGTTATAGAATGAGATCCCTGTCGAAGTTTCCCCAAGAGCCTACAGCATAGGGTTCTTCAAAAGGGGGAAAGGGGGTTTTTCAAGGTCGGCAACACGCGCCTAATACCCCTGGTATTGCAGGCGTTCATAGGCTACGGTAACCGCTTACCATCAGATGGGCCGTATGTTTGTTTAGCACCTCAGTGGAGTAAAAAAATATTAAGACAGTAGTTTTGTATTTTTGTAATGTGGATAGTACTTACTAGACAGTCTTTTTACTTACAAAAAAATTAAACAAAATCAAAAGCATTTTAAACCAGTTTTGGCAAAACAATTTATTTTCTACTCTTCAAGGACCTCAGTAAAAAAAATATAATAATAATAATAATAAAGGGGATTTTTATTATTATTATGTTATTTTTCTTTAAAGATAAAGATAAAACCTGATTTTTTCAAGAAGTGTTTTTTTTTATTTGCTAACTATTTAACACCTTCCTTCCTAGAGCCGGCATTTTAGACATACAAAGAATAATGTTAAAAACCGAAATATCCATTCTCTCATAATATTTATAAAAATAAATTTAAAAAATGAAACTTACCAACACACAAAGGCACAGTGTCATTCCATCTGTTGTCATCATAGCACCATAATAATCTCGCCCTCTGACGTGTATCGGAGAAAACGTAATTCACATTGCACATGTAGTGAGCTACATCGCTGTTGCGGTACACCAAATATCCTTCAGAGGGCTCTGGTAGTGTGACACAACCTATACCTATAAAAAATAGATGGCGCTGTTATCATACTTATTGTACCGACTTATTCTCCTAACTAACAGTTAGATGGCGCGAGTCTCTATATCTTTACAGAAAAATAAACGAAGAATTTTTGGGGAAATCGATTTTAAAATTTTATTTTAATCCGCAAAAAAGACTTTTTACTTAAGTACTTTTTTACTTAATAATATATGACTAACAAAAAAATTATAACAATATTTTTCGAAAAAAAAAACAAAGAAAAAGTTTACATAGAGGATTGTAAATAATTTTACTCCCAATCCAATATAGATCACATATTACAAATGTGAAAATAAGTTTTTAATTTATTACCTCATGACGCCTTAACGACTCAACCAATCGTTATGAAATTTGATATACGCCTAGTATTTAAGATAAAAAAGAACATAGGTTACTTTTGGTCCTGATTAATCAACATATTCTGGTCACGCAACCGAAAAAGCTTCTAAAAACTTGTAGGATTATAAGAGGCTGTCGTCAAATGTGTTAAAACTAACATCATAATGTCAAATAAAAAAATGCGTGGGCCAAATTATTACGAGGATTTTTGTAATATTCTTACTCTTGTAATGAAGAAGAACGCCTCTCTTTGGGTAAGCGCCCTCAGATTTGACCTGGACCGTAACATCCACTGTATCGGTGGTAGACAGCAGCTTCAGAGGCAGTTCCACCTGATCGCAAGACGTAAACATCGACTCGCCGTTCGAATCTTCGACCGCAATGAAATCCGTACACGACTCTTCGAATGGGCCAATTGCTGTAAAGAAAAAAAAATTAAAATAAAATTTCTGTAGCCATTATAAATAAATACTAATGATAGGAATATAGATATCCAAAGGAACACTTTGCACAAGAGTCGACTAAAACGCTTGACAAACTGCGCGGTTTTCTTGCAAAGCAAATCTTCATATTTTCTCCATTACTACGTCACTGCATAAACATTTTAACGCATTAAACCTGTATTTTTATTAAAAAAAATAAGTTTTTGTTTGACGATGGTGGCAATCAAGCATAGAGCCCGTCTGATGGTAAACGGTCACTTTAGCATATAGATGCCTGCAACACTAGAAATGTTACATGCGTGTTGTCGACCATTAAGAAACCTCAATACACTCTTTTTGAAGAACCCCATACTGTAGTTTCTGAGGAAAATCTAGGCTGGAGCTCATTCCACAGCGTTCGCGGGAGAAAATTTCTGTGAAACCACACTGTACGTGACCATTTTGGTTCAAACGTGTGAGAATGAATACTCTATCGATGGCGAGCAGTGTCATGATAAAAGGTGGCTGTAGATTGTTAATTTTATTTTCACCATATAAACTAAATAAAAAGAGCATACTAAAAATAACAGAAGTTTGTTTATATGTATACATACTATATGTATATACAGTACTTGTATGTATACATATGTATATTATACAGTGCCGCATGTGCCACAGCCTGAGCGTGTGCGGAAGGAAACTCCTTTGTAACCGTGGGAAAGTGAGTTTGCTTATTTGTTTCTTTGTCACCTCTACACCTTAACAGCTAAAATAATCAATATGCAATTTGTTATACATATACTATATGGCACGATAAAAGAAATAGTTGTATCAATCTTTAGCTGTCCACTGCTGAACATAGCCTTTCCCATAAGGGGGATTTCTGCCAATAATTGCCACGCTTGGCAGGCGGGTTGGCAACCGCAGTTTGGTTTTTGGTTATGTTTTAAGAAGGACGCTGTTGCCCGTCTCATCCGCCATAAGCTCCCTTACGACACCCATGGGAAAGAAAGAGGTGGCCTATTCTATGTCAAGACCTATATGGCAAAAGAAAGAAATAGGCTACTTTATATTCCAGTCAGCGAACATACCCTGGTTATGCGGACAAAGTCACGGGTGAAAGTTAGTTGTTGTTATAACACTTACTTCGTAAACTAACGTCTAATAGTGTAAGACGGATTCGTTGCTCAGGGTTAACCCGTATCCGCCAGTGACACTCCTCCCCGACGTAGAAATGTGGATAACCCGGTGTCCGCATGTAACCTTCGCTGTCAGCCCCCGATACTGCAACCTGCACCTCTCTGTTGCAGTAATGTATCGAGAGGGTATCTGAAAATATAAATAGAGAAAAATTTCATTATTGTCATTAAAAAAAGATGTAAAATATTTTGCTCTAAAAAAAGCTATTTCAATCTGTTAGGTTTTGTAATAATTAAAAAATGTATTTTACAAAAAAAAACTGACTTCAATTGTGACAAAATCAGTTATGTTGATCTATAATAAAAAGTTAACTACTAAACTGGGTTTCGATAAAGGTTTGTATAGGACAACCTGTAAGTATATCCTTTCAGATAAAAAAAGAATTTTCCAAATCAGTTTAGAACTGATGGAGTTATGTGGTAAAAATATAAAAAAAAAAATAATCGAATTGACAGATAAAGTTTCAGTCTTAAATTTTACTGCAGGCTCTCTTTGTTTTTTAACAAGACAAACAAAAAATGAATATTTAAAATTAACTCAAGTGACGCTTTCTAATGGATTCCGAGTCTCAATAAAAGTCACCTTGACTTTGTACTCAAGAGAACTTTTTCAATAGCGAAAACTTCTAAATAGAACGGATATCGTGGGTATTTCCCAGCATACTAATATAACAAAATGTAATAATTATACTGTTATAACTATGTAAAAAAGGTTTCTGTATTGGCGATCAAAAATATATACAAACTGATTTCTTTTTTACTAAAAAAAATAATTCTACCTACTGCTATTGTTTTTGAATACCATTCCAAAAAATAAACCAAATAGAATATGTCGATACTGTAGTTACTAGGCATGAAATTTTTTTTTTAATGGATGATAATGGAATGGTAACCCCGCCCGCGCTATCGGTATACACCGGCGGAGCACCAGTGAAGGATGATAGGTGAGTATGAAGCACGTCAGTTAGCCCATCGTGTCGAATTCCACAAAAATTCTTCACGATGGTTTACAGAGGAAATCACGTGGAGGTCGACCTAATAAGGCATATTGCTAGCAATGGGGCTGTCAAACTCCATTGCTAACAATCCCTTTCCCCCAACATGAAAATTATTACTACATTTAATATATTATCATTTAATATTTTATTCACTGTATTATCAGTGACAAATCACAAAGTGATTTTTGCACGCTTTGAGTTAATTTCGCACTGGCTACTATTCTCTATTGAAAGTGAAATACGAGTATGAATTATGATTTTTATGATAAGAGCGAGCGAATAGACACTTTAATATACTTGTAGTATGATAAAATCTCTTATTCTCTCGTTCTGTACGACCCAGTCGTGTTTTATTAGGCATGGTTAATATCGGTACTGCAGCTATATCTATATATTGGGTTTCTCTGGCATGAAAAATGGCCATCACCTATTTCAACATTGCCAATACCGGTCAGAATATATTCATTTCACACGAGTGCTTCATTTCGATATTATATACAGGATAATCAATATTTAATATGTGCGTTATTGTACCTATATATAGATACTGTAACTACAATATATAGATGTTGCTGAATATCTCTCATCCTTAGATTCACTTCACTACTAACCGAGCGCATCCGATGACTCGCGAATAAATCCGAACGCAGCGACTAACTGCGATTTCTTTTAGTAACAATTTTGTAATTTTTTAGAGAGTGACATATGATTTGGGGTAATATATGAAATTAAACATGTGACATGAAATATTTCAAATCTAGTGATTATATATTAATAAACAACCTCTTCATAAATATGACGAATATAAAAACATGGAAACCTCATAAAATACAACAGATGTATGTTACCTTGTAAGCATAACACAGATTTTTATTTCGTGTATTTATAACAGCTCTCTGAACTTTTTATATTTATAACATTTTTAATGCAAAATCAACATCAAAAGAATATATATGTGGTGTTATTTTTAGGATACGTTAGGACTATAAATAGTAAAACGACACATTGGGAGTTTTATTACCTGACAAATCTATTTTAATACAGTCATTTTATAATAATAAAAACTTATACTTAGGTTAAACTAATTAAGAAAAGGACGCCATTTTTTCGATCAGTGTTGCTAGTAATTGTGATAAAAATTTTCTAAATGAGTTCTATTTTTAAATTTCAATTGAGAACTACTTTCGTCTTTGAAAATTTTCATTAAAGTTTATTTATTAAAATAATATTAAAGACACTCAGTGTTAATCTACGATTTTTTGCATTTAAACTTAACCTGAGATATTGCCTATTTTATTTATTTATTTCTTATAAAATATTAATTATGTGTTTATTAATTGTATAATCTATAATATACCTTTTTAAATGTAAATAATTGTAGTGAAAGTGAAGTAGGTAGTAAAAGTATTCGATTTAAAATCCCATATTGGATGATAAAGCCCTCCACTATGTAGTTTTTTAAAGATGGTTTTTTTATCCGTAAATTATTGTACATATAAAACGATTTTTTATTCTTACGGGTACTGTAAGACATAAAAACATTTTTCGCTGCATTTAGTATAATGCCATGATTTCCTTTTTATAAATTTTTTTTTTATAGATAAATTTAAGAGCCCGCACAGAGCAAGTAATCACTACGTTATAAGAGTACGTATAAGTACATTTTAAGTCAAATTAAATAAACATGCATCTCATTACAAACCAGCTGTTCCGAACACTATGAGTGACGTGTGAAACGGCGTAGTAGAGCCCTGACTAATATCATCTATTTGGACGTCTGTCACTTACATTACCGATTAATGACGTACAAGCTTTTAAGTATAAGAATTGCAAAGGAAAAGTATTTTTTTCTCATCTCACTCCGTTTGTTCGAAATTATTTTTAACCGACATCAAAAAGGAGGTTATGAATTCGGTTGTACTTCTTTTTAATTTCTTTCTTTCCTTTTTTTTATCTAAAAGGATATACTTACAGATTGGTCCCTTAGAAATTTTATCAAATTCGATTGAGCCGTTTAGTTTTTAGATCAAAATAACTGGTTTTATCACATTTAAAGTCGTTTTTCTTTCTAGGACACAATTTTTAATTCTATATTAATGTATATACGGAACCCTCTACTATAGAAAAATAACGTGCAGAATAATTTTGAAAACTTTCGCAATTATTATGTTAGTAAAATCTAATGTGGTATCTAATAAATAAATAATTTTGTATTGAGTCCTGAATTTCTTTATTATAAAATGATTTTTTTTATTCATCAATTATTTTTATTTATTTTTTTCTTTATTTATTTATGAAATTTGGACAAAATACAATATTTCACTAAACAACTGTTGAGTATTTCTGTACTTCTCAAAAGTTTACTAACAGAAAATGCCTTTTGTATTAACCCCGCTTTTTGTACAACACACTATTGGTAAAAAAAAATTAAATTAATGTTTTCTTTTTCCAAGAAAATCCTTTTTCCAGCAAGTCACCTTGTGGAAGTTGCTCTCCGCGATCGCTTAAACGAAAAAGTCAATCAAAATGGTGCGTACAAATGAAAAACGTAGAGCGCCCACGCGATTCGGGTGACTCTTTTTACTTATAAATTAAGGATATATTTTTTAGATTTTTTTATAGTATCAGAAAAGACGAAATAAATAGTTATAGGAAGACTTTGTACAAAAGTCATCTGCTTGTGTGCACGTCTGCTTATACGGCGGTGTTTCAGTTTGAAGGGCAGGATGAAATAAAGCAGTGAAAGGAATCATTCAAAAAATCTGTGGTTGTGCTGTTTATGTATATAGGTTTTTTTTTTTGATGGGTGAAAATGATATGGTAACCCCGCCTGCGCTAACGGGATACGCTGCCGGAGCACCAGTGAAGGATGATAGATGAGAATGAAAACAGGCCAGTTAGCCCGTCATGATGAATTCATCAGGAATTAACCATGATAGTTTCCAGGAAGAACCGCGAGGAGGTCGACTTGGTTGGATATATTGCTAGCAATGAGATTCTCAGTCTCCATTACTAACAATCCCTTTCCCCCCAAATGTCTATAGGTTATACGTTAGCAATATTGGCATATCAATTAATACGTTTTCCACGATGATTAATAATATTCTAATTAATGTTTAGATACAGTACATGCTGCCCGTCTCTGGAATTTACTTCCTAATAACTTAAAGATGGCACAATAATTAAAATCTTTTAAAGCAAGTATCATAAAATTTTATTCTGAAACTCCTTTTTCATTAAGTCAAGTATGAATATATGTATCTATGTATTTGATATTTGTTTATGTGTGTAGGTTTACTATTATTTATTTATGTATTAATATTATATTATTATTTATGTACTTTTATTATTTACATATGTAGGCTATTGTTTTTATTGTATTATATATTCAATTTTTTACTGGGTATTATTTAGTTTATCTTTACCCGTACAGTTATTACCCTTATACATTCTACAGTTTTCTTTCAGCTTCTCAAAGGTTGACTGTAAGAGATCTCTTTATAGGATAAGTCTGCCATTGTATATTAAATCTTTTAATGTATTCAGTATGAATTACGTACAATAAAGATTTTGCAATACAATACAATATACAAAGGACTACAGCCGTAATCATTTATTTTATACTTAATTGTACACAAAAATTATATACTTAGTAATAATTTATTTGAAATACAACAACGTACAACAGACAAGCTTAACTCTGTTAGTGTTCTCTAGCTGAGAACGCTTAAATATTTATTTTATTCACGGTGTGGTCCCGGCATAGAATGGACCACCCCTTCCTTTCTCGTGGGTGTAATAAGAGGCAACTAAAGAAATTTAATGATCAAGGGATGGGCAACAGTGTCTTTCTTAAAACTTTATCAAAACCTAACTACGGTTGCTAACCCGGCCGCCAAACGGGGCAACTACTAACAAAACTTAAGAGGAAGGCCTGTGTGCAGCAATGGATCATTAACAGCTGATATGATGATGATGATTTTATTGGTGTCTCGTATATAATTGGTATATAAAATAGAATTAAAATTACCTTGCAAAATAAATTTTGAAATTTTACATGACCGTTGTTTCTACTAAAATTTGGCCACTGTAACCAATACCATAACACCACCCTTGCGACGTAACCCTAATG